ATTTCAAATATTTATCTTTGTTACATATTCAACAGATAGAAATTAAAACTATGGTGAAAGATAATTTTCACTGTCTATTTTGCTGTAAACTTTGCAGAGAAAACTGGCTAGCCCCTAACTTTCTAGAAGAAGTTAGCACAGCTCACACGCAGGAGACGCAGCTGAGACGCGTCTCATGCAATCAGTGTTGCTGCTCTGACCTGATAACATGAGCACAAAAATGAAAAGCAAGACAGATGCAACAGTGTGGCACAGGCGATAGACTCTAAAATAGTAAAATAAGTTTACTACACAGCAAGTAGGGCATAATCTTGGACAATGTGGGTAAGATAATAAACCACACTTTACTTAATGCTGAAAAATATTTGTATAAAATCAAAAAAAGGGTCAGTTACAGTAAAACCTAGAGCTTACTCTGAAGTTCCCCGCAGCTCTGTGTTTTGATGGCCTACACCTCTGTTCTAACCTTGTTTCCAACTGCAGTGGCAGGTTTTAGTTAAGCTGCATTGATTTAGTGTATGCTACCTGCCCAGCATGAAACAGTAGACAGACTAAATTAGCAAGGAGCCAGTGAACATATGGGAGCGCTTAGCAGCTAAAGAGCCCGATACTTTACTCAGGAGGTGGTGAAGACCAAAATACTCATGTTGCTTTGTGTTTGCCGGGAGTGTGAAGAGGCAACTGTTTGCTAACATGTTCACCATGTTGTCATCTTCTATTCATTTAGCTTTAATTTTAGGCTGAATAATCAGCTCAGAGTTGATATTTAAAGGAAAATATTCAACTACCACTAATCAATAATCAATGATAGTGATTCTTAAAAAATGTGTCACCTAGTAATTCTGCTCAGTTTTTTTTGCCATACATAGAAAATGTTCTTATTTAGTTTATTTGAACGCTGACATTTTCTCACGAGAGCTTTTCTCTTAATGAGACATAGTAGGTTAGTGTGAGCAGAAACATCTATCAACCTGTGACTGTCTGGTTTTCACATGTCCATGTAAATGCTGACAGAGGAGGTGGCCTCATCAGAGAGATTTCTGCAGACAGCGTTTGGCTGACATTTCCTCTAAGGCTCTGAATGGGCCTCAAGTTGTGAGCAAATTCAAATGAGTGATCGCAACATCTCCAGGTCATTCAGGGCAGAGTGAGCTAGAGGGAATAGGAGCAGAGGAAAGAAATTGGAGGGATGACAACGAGGAAAGAGCAGGATTGTTGACTGCTGATGAGATGAGGAAAGGTTGCAGCTGGAAAAACCGAGAAAAAGAGAGGAGAGAAAGGAGAGGCAAAGAAAAGTGGACCAGCAATAAACATTGGAGGAAAAGAAGGAACTAAGGAGAAAGATGAGAAGGAGGAGAGGGGCTGAGAGGGCAGGGGAGATGAGAGAGAATAAAGGCAAGAGGAGGGAGAAGATAAAAGGACACGGGGAGAGGAGCAGAAACAGATGTGATCAAATATACATAAGATCTGTACAACCAAAGGATGAACCAGGCAGCCTGAAGCAGAGAAAGACAGAGATGGGAAGAGTAATGATAGAGGGAAAGAGGGAGGAGCTGATAGCACACCAATGCAGTGATAAACAAAGAGATGGGGAGATTGATGACCAGAGGCCACAGGTACTTCATGATTTCATCAGCTGCAGACGTCCATAAAAGTTCCTTGTCTAACATCTTGAGGCTAATGTCCACTGGATCCAGCTGTGCTGTGATCTACTGTCAGGGCTGCTGACAAACTATTCTATTCTCGTCACTGTGGCAATAACAACAATTTTTATGTTTATTGTCAATTTAACAATGCATTTGGAGCATTACACTGGCCTGTACAGGAAACGTTTTATTCAAACAGAAAAGCAAACAGAGCATAAGAAAGAAAGGGAAAAAAAAATAGAAAGGGAGTGGAACTATTTTAATACATCTTTTTATCTTCATTATTTTGTATTCAACAAAACACATATAGCACATCTGGCAACAACGAGCATTCTAAGGTTTAGCAATCACACCAAACTCAAGAGCTCACTTCTCATTTACAGATTTTTGTTTGTTGTCAGTCAACAAAACAAGTCTAACACAGGAATTTGATTATGGCTCATTCATACGTCATTTTATTCATTCCAAGAACTACATCTATATATTATGGACAAAGAAGTGTCTGACAATGTCAACATAAATCCCTGTTATTGACAACAGCTGTAATACACTACTGCTGTACTGAACCCTTATTGGATAGGTTTATTCTCATTTGAGGTGAGGAAAAAGCCTAGTGAGGATGGAGGACCAAGACGCAGAGAAAAAATATGCATTTATAATTTTTACCAGCCCTAATGTGGACATAGGCAACTCTATTTACACCATTCAAGACATGAAGGCTCAGTGAAGTGCGGTAATCAAGCCAAAAATAGCCACAAAACATATGTTTACCACATCTAAGTGATTTGTTCATGTGTATTTAGGCTTGTACAACATGAAACTCCCTAACTATACAGTAAATGTCAATGCTGACACTATACTTTTTTGAAGGGAATTTAAAGATTTGAGATTGAGGTAGAATGCTACACAGCTGGATCCTACAAAGACTGTAGGCTACACAAAGATGGATGAAGCTTCTCTACTTGCTCCCAAGATCAAGAAAAGAACCCAAAATATCCTGGATCTGAACGCTGCCACCTGTCACATTTAAGACTAATCCTGACTCCAACATGTTTTTAAGGCAAATAAGTAATTCAAACCAGACTTCCTGGAAAACCAGCACTTGAATATACATCAGTGTAATGAGAACTATCTGAAATGACAGAAACCATCAAGAATGTATTTTATGTGTACTTTGATACTGCTGCCAGTCACTTGAGTCACTTTGGCTTTATTTTTAGGGAGCTGTCATGTCATCCATCTTTAAATACAATCTACTCGATGGGATCCTGTGGATATTCACTCTCACACAGAGCCAGGCTATCTGCTTCTCCCTGTCTATCTAAGATAAACTAACCCACTGTGGGCTGTACAGCTTCATATTTGAAGGACAGACATGAGAGTTAGGGCCTGTCCCAATTCCTTTCCCCCCCCAAACAGGGCCACAAAGGATAGGGCTAGAAAATCTTCCCTAGGACACCACTCACTACTTCATCAGCAGCCAACCAACATCATTACAGTGACAAACGATATCAACTAACGTTAGTTTTTAACAACCGTTATCAGCCAACATTATTACAGTGACACATCTGACAACTGCAGGACAGATGGGACACATTGATCTATTGAGCAATACACGGTCATTCATCATGTTTACAGCAGCTAATTCAATGTAACATTAGTCCTGTCCATAGAGACTTCTGCCCCCCAGTAAAAACTTTACAACATGAGCAGGGAAGTTTGCAAAATTTGCATCTTGACAGTTTGTCAAACTTGATATATGGGACACAGCAGTAACGAATGTTAAGTGTTACTCTCATTCAGACTGTTTACAGGCGCTTTGATGGCGTGAAATATGATTTTCCTTAAACACCACAGTCAATTTTTTTAATTTTCAAGAAGGGTTTGAGTGAAAAATCAAATTTAGGATGTAGTAGATGTTATAACGTAAGTAGTCAGACTATGCTCTGTTACATGTCAATCAATTCATGTAGAAATCATTCAGATTAAGGTCAATGCTCAGATTTTTGGTGTCCATATAAACGTAATAGTCGTCTATGATCTGAATCAGACCATGTGACCAAAGCTCAACAACATTTCTTGTATGTTTGCAGAAGACTTCATGGCCTGTAGCCCCGCCCAAATAAAACAACTGCAACTGTGTTCAATGACAACATACAAAATAAGTCATTTCATCAAAAGCTATGCTTAGCAGCAGCACTACAGTTGAGATTAAGTAAAGGAAAATCACACTGACATTTTTATATTCAGTGCCACTAACAGTTTCTGAGGATATCATTATCCCTGATGTGCAGTGTGATTAAACATCCATAAATCATCTTAGAAATCACAGACAAATTACACCTTAGAACCAAATAATTTGAGGCTCTGTCAGAAGGATTTCACATATTAATTTGTGTTCATCCTCATAAATGTCATACCCACAGGCATTACTGTTTTCTAAACCATGTTGCTTTAGTGTAGCTAAAAGATTTACTGTCTACAAAGCAAGATCGGGATATTCTCTACACTTCTCTTAAACTTGAAGACAACATGATATCCTACCTAACAGTTACCATCAAAGACCTGCAGGAAATGTGGTGTGGTTAAAACCAAGTGGTGTTAACTCCAGATGACACATTGAACTCAAGTGGCCTAAATGACTAAACTGAACTGATTGTCTCATTGGACTTTCCTTAAAGAGCTATCCTTCATTGTCAGGGTCATTTAATTCTATAGTCAATTCAACAAAGACGACAAGGGAAGTGCATTGCAAAGAAAACAGAAGAAAGCCCAATTAAATTCTATTTTGGTCCCATTAGAATAACCAAATATGCGGTGGAGAATAGAGACTGGACGTTGGTGCAATCTAACACGATAACAAGCTGGTAAGTTCTTTTTCCAGCCACTGCATAAAATACTTTTGACAAACATCAGGTCAGGGGCGCTGTATCAAACTGATCTGAAACATCCACTGAACACACATAACCTAGATCCTCTCATCTGGTGATGTACAACCACAGGTTGATTAGGAGCGGTGAGCAGCCTCAGACCTAATGAACTGTTTGAGTGATTATAAACAAAAGGGGCTGCTGTTCTTTCAGGTTAAAATATTATGTTCCTCAGTATACATGGAAAAATCATTTGAGAATACATTGTAAGTCCTTAAACTAAATTCAGGGCTTCAACTAACCAATCTCCCAAACCTATATTTTGAGGATAAGCATAATTCACAGACAAGACAGATACATCTATCCTATTCCTATTGGAATGACACTTCTAGACCAGCTCCCGCCAGCCACACCACTTTTCAAACATGCAGGCAGGTGCTGGCTTTGTACTCTGCTGTGTTTGAGATGGCCGATGGTCTGTTACCTGGAACAAAGCTTTCCTGGACAACATCCTTGTACGCCCACCAACTCTCATCAAGCTTGGATGTAATAGGCTGAGCTGGAGGGAGAAAGAAAGAGAAAAGTGGAGAAAAATGAATTAGAAAATGTAGGATATTATGCCAACCAGCCCTGCAGGCTCTGCCCAGCCTGTCCAGAAGCAACAGCACTAATGAAGAGAGCCGCTGGGATCTGTTGGGATGATCTGAACGATAAGAGTTTGTGTTGCAACAATTAAGAGGCAGGTCACATGAACAAAAACACTAACACGACTGAACTCTCTTCAACTATTCATCTACTTAGTTGATGCTTTTTAGCATGACACTCAAACAGATGAATAACTACACATTTGGCTTCACGTAACATTCACTTTTGTTGCTGGTCATTAGAATGCTCCCATTTAGCTAACTTTCTTTTCAGTTGTGTCATTTTAGTAACTCAAGGTATTTATTTTTGAGATACCGATTCCAGGGCGGGGGTTGCTGCTGGGGTTTTTCTGGTTGGTTGACAAAAGGACTCCAAGTGGCATCAGGCCTGTTTAAATGGAGTTTATTGGACTGTGCAATATTCCCTTTTTAATGTATTAATATGATCACTTTCACGACTGTTTTTAAAAATATTCTCATCTGAATGATCAGTCACTATAGAATGTCTCAATTTGCCAGGTATAAAAGTGCTCCTCTGTGCTTCTTTTTTTTTTCGTAAATACAAATAGGAAACCTTTTCAAGAAACCACCACTGGCTCTCTCACCTCAGACAGTTACATTGTCAGTGACACCTAAGTTAAGTGAACAAGTTGCCAAATTCACATTCCCACCTTTCGGATTTAATTGGGCGTTTTCACACCCATAAGGCCAAATCATGGAGCTTATCAGGCAGAGGGGGACTATTGAAATTCTTTATTATCAGGACGTCCCAGTGAGCATGTAAAAAGCTTCCAGTTGGTCCAAAATGCTGCAGTTGAGTACTGACAGGAGCAAGAAAAATCAAATTTCTTCTTACCATATTAGCCTCTCTGCATTGGCTCTCTGTAAAATCCAGAATAATAACTAAAGTTATTCTCCTTACTAAAGGCCTCATAGATTAGTTCGCTCCCTAAACACAGGCTCATTACGGTCACTATAAAGTTATGGTTCCTTGAGTGTGTAAGAGTAGAACAGGAGGTAGATCCTTCAGCTACCAGGCTCCTCTCCTGTGGAACCAGCTCCCACTCTGGGAACAGGAGGCAGACACCATCTCTACATTTAAGGTAAGACTTGAAATCCTCTATCCTCTTTGATAAAGCATAGAGATAGTGATTCTCAGGTGAGCTCTGAACCATCCATTAGTTGTGCTGATATAAGCCTGCACTGCTAGGGGAACTCCCATCATGCACTTCGCCCTCGCTCAGCAACAGTAAAAGAAAGTTTTTGTGAGAATATCTC